CCCCCAGCAATTTACATGAGGAGAGAAAAGCAGGGAGAGCTGAGTGTCCCAGAATAATGCCGCAACCCGAACATCTGATCTTTGAGGTCTCCGTCTAGATCAGACAGCCCCTCACTCCCGTTGTGTGCAAATAGAGGGCGCCCTTCCCCGGGGAACAGCTCCCTGTGTTTCCCCCACACTTCGCCCCACCAAATGCGCGGCGGAACCCCCCATTCGTGCTCCAGTAGGCAGAGAATCACAAACCAAGGATCAAACTGCCAACCCGAGAGTCACTAGCTGGGCGACTTTCTGGGTCAGACTCCTCTGGAAGGTAAAGGAAGGTGGGGTGACAGTCCTGTCCCAGACGTCCTGACAGCGGGACGCGAGGTGATGCGCTCACGCCTGGGCAAAGCCGCCGGCTGGGACAGGCGCCCAGCGCTCCCCCAACAAAGGAAGCAGCGCACAGTACTGAGGTTCTCAGTCGACGCTGTCAACCACCCCACCCCACCCCCCAGAATGGGTGCTCCTGCACCCTGAGCTCCGTCTCTCCGGGACCTGGCACAGCTGGCACTACCTGCGAGGAAGGCCGAGGCCTCCGGCAAACCCCGGACGCCGCGCGCGCCAGGCACTGTCCCCTGGGCCCAGGGCTGCCGGCAGCCTCCAGACTCGAGGAAACAACGGAGAGGCGGGCGGATGCCAGCGGGCACGAACAATTCCCAGCCTGAACCTCGCCGCCACGTGACAGCGTGGCCAAAAGTTGCCAGGTATTTCTTTTATTTATTTATTTGAGTATTTCTTTCTTAAAACGCAGAAGGGCCCAACCAAGACGCTTCTGCAGGCCGAGCGCGGCCCTCAGGCGGCCAGGCGTGAGACCCCTGTGCCTACGCCAGGCTCGGCGGGGACGGAGGTCGCGACCCACCGGCCCCTGGAAGGCCGGGACGCCACTTACGAAGGAGGAGAAGGACGGGAGGAGGATCCTGAGGACATTGCACCCAAACACGAAGCAGAGCACCAGCAGCCACGCCCAGTGGTCGGCCTCCAGCGCGCTCATCCCGGACGCTCCCAGCAGCTTGCGCGCTGCTAAAGCCGAGGCCCCGG